ACTCTCAAAATGCAGGCAACACAACTCAACACTAACAAAAGTGATGCCTTCTACCACTACTAACTCTTAATTACTTAATCATCCACCTAGGGAAACTTCTGATATTAGCCACCATAATTACTACCACCAATGCTATGTAACACTAGATGCACCTACACCAGTTATAGTTTCATCTAAGTATCCCCCATACAACTTACTGTTCACATAGCACATGCATTCCAATTTTGCACTGAATGTTCATAATTATTACCCATTATGCTGATAAGGGATCATAACAGGATGATATCGGTAATTTAGTCCTCTGATTCCACCAATTTCTTTACAAGTGTTAGTCCCTAATTATCTAATGTTTTTTTATTTACTCAGTTTTGGATGCATGTCTTGAAGGTTGAATCTACTTTCCTTGCAACCATACGCACAATTTCTTTGGGAGCATGCACTTGCACATTTCTTCACTACACAGTTACCCAAGTTAACAAAACAAGCATCTCATCTTTAATAAAGTGCCTACTTCAGAAAACATTAAAATCAAAATAATTGTAAATTACTTGATGAACTGAGTAAATGGTACCACACATAAGCTTCAACACATTCTAAGTATTGACATACAAACATGATATATGAGATCACAAACATATACAGGTCAGCAACTACATATACACATGATATAAATAAGTATATATATGGCACCTAAGAAGTCACAAACTTGATGACACAATAGTGGAATTGACAATAATAAAGTGGAAACTTCCTCTCTTTTTTTTAAAAGGAGAAATTTGCAAGAAAAGAAAACATCAACTGTAGATAAGTTTAAGGTTGAAGATGTTACCACTGCATGTCCTGTTCCAACCTGTGGAGGGGCTGCATACTGAATATTTGGGGTTGGAATTCCAGGATGAGAAATACCAATTGCAGGCAAGGAAGAATGACTTTGCTGGTCATCAGATTCACTATTATCTGCAAAAGCAAAATTTCAAAGTAGATAAGAATGCGTTCAAGAAATGGTTGTACTACTCAAGTGAAGAAAGGAAAAAACAGAAACCATGATGCCACTTCACAAAAGGAAAACAAAAGCCAAAATCAATAAATCAATAAAATAACAAAGAATTAAAGCTTTGAAGTTCAGTGCTATAAAACCATAAATATGAGGGAAAAGTGTAGTAAATCCTACATCACCGCATTGATCATATGTAGCACAGGAGCAATATCAGAAGGATTTAACCAGAACATAATAAAACAGCATTACCAGACAGCCTTAAAGCCAACTAAAACAACCAAGGAAATTATTTTTTTCACAAGGTAGAGGCTTCCTGAGGATCCACATCAAATGAAAAAGAAAATGGGCAATTAGTGAGATGGTAAATTATGTAAACCATAAATCAAAATCAGGAACGACCAAGGAAGTCAAGGGTTGGATCTGACACGGATCTTGCTAAAACCAAATCAAGACTTCAACCTAAGCCCATGCTCGGTCTTAGGTATTACAAAGGTAACAGATGTTAATCTCCCTGCAAAAGTTATTGGTTTGTAGAACAATCCACCAACAGAAAAGGAAAGAACCCTTACTTAAACTAGTTTAATATAAAATCTACACCATTATTATATCAAAGACGCAAAAGCACCAAACAAAAAGCAATTCAGTTTCTTGCCAAATTAACTATCCCTGCTCAATTATATGCCAGAAACATAAGTCTTATCCATTTACAGTAACTCTGAAACCAACTGAATATTTAAAGTATTTTGGAAGGAAAGAAAATTACCAGAACGATCATGCACAGAAGAAGTCATGAGGATGTCTTAAGTGGAGAGTCCAAAACAATATGTAGCTGCAAAACAAAAATCATCCAGATCAATGTCATACAGAAAATAACATGCTGCTAGAACCAAGTAAGAAACAAAAAGAAAACAGATCATAGGATGAATTTTTTTTTATAAGTTTTATTTAAAAATAAGAAAGTACATTTTAGGATGAAATTAGAATCGTTCAGTAACTAATATCTTTTTCTTTTTCATTTTTTAATAAGAAACAAATGCTTTACTGAGTTGAAAGTCTATTAGTTTAAAAAATAAAGTCCATCTGTGAGAAAGAGTTTGACCGCCTAGACAAAGCTAATTTTAGAGATGTTCTTCGTACTAAATTCGGATTGTGTTGCTGCAGTTAGTTGAATTTTGGTAGCTTGATGTTGGTAGATAGCAGCTTCTTGTAATTTACAAAGAAGCCCAAAACCTCACTAATAAGATCATAGTATAACTGCAAATATTTGACAACCGTGCAAAACAGAAGGGACAATCAGGAGAGGGGAACTGATATTGCAGAACCATATCAGCAAAATGAAAGAATAAGGATACAATCAAAGTAACGTGATGGTGCTCGCAATATCGCTTTCAAGTATGAGCTACTAATTTCCTTGGTTACAGGTTCCATTTTCCAGCATTATTGAGATAAAATGGTTGGTAGTGGGCCTTTTCCTATTTTGAACCATGAAGCAACAGGGCATACATACATAAATAGATAAATAATTTTCTTTTTAAAGGTGGTTCAGTGAACGAGACTTTGCCTCCTTCAAGAGCAGAGTCCGAGGGCGATTGGATGTACAAACCCTTACCCCCATTGCAGAAGGTTGTTTCACATTTCGAATATGTGACCACCTGATCACAATGGAGCAACCTTACCATTGTGTCAAGGCTCGAAATATACAGATAAATAGATCATTGTTAAACAAGATTTCCATCTAATCTAGGGTCTAGCCACAGCTGCAGATGTGTACAAAATAATTCCATGAATGGCCAGCAACAACTAATTTAGCTCATAAAAGATAATCATGGTCTCCTGAATACTCCTTAAAGATTGACTCAGAGTGTAAAAAGAAAGAAGAAAGTGAACCCAACTACTCTCAATACCATCAACCCAACTAATATCATAGTTCATCTGCATGCCCAGTTTTCATAAAATTAAATTAATAAACTTTATTAAACCCAAAAATTCAGCTCTCAATTTACTCTTCAAATACCTACATAATTAGCTCAAAACTCAGAAAATTGACCCAATCATCTAACATAAACCAATTCACCGAAACAAAATAATAACAATTGAAGAATTCTCATAATTTGGTCGGGCAAACCAATTGCAAAGCGAAGCTAGGGTTTAGAATTTGGAAAGTTACCTCTTTTGGTTGGCTGCGTTTCTTGTTCCTACTAAATTTAGTAAAATTCTTTCTGTGCAGGATTTGAAATGGCGTCTGACGGAAATTAGAATTCCTCTATCACCATATTATTACCTGAACTGCATGCCTATTTTCAACCATACACATCCTTCATTTTTATTTTATTTTTTATTTTTTATTTTTTGGGGAGGCTTTTAATCGGTTAAGTGTCGACTAGAATCTGCAGGGGTGAAGAAATCTGAGCCGTTGGATTCAGTGACTGTTTCGGGCAGTGGAATGTGCTGCCCTGGAGATAATCTGGACCAGGAATTATGTGGGGCCTACGCGGTGAGCGGGCGGGATTGAAAGCGACCGCCGAGCTTGATTTCTGTCCAGCAGCGCACCCGCACGTGGGGTCCACGGCTGAATATGATTAGGCTCTGCTGCTACTTTTCTCAAGTCAAGCCAAAAGAAAAAACACAGAGTACACAAAAATAGTAACAACAGACTATACCGTATATGAAGGGCAAGGACCCTATAAATAATTTAATTATTAATTTTCCTATTTAGTATTTTAATATTATTCTTTAGTTTTTTTTTTTTAGGAATATTATTTAGTATTTAATATTTGACTATTAGTTGGTCAGTGCAATGCAATAAGTCCACCTCTTTGTATTTGAGTTTGAATCCCCCTACCAATTCCCGTAGATTAAATTAAGAACATTTACTCTTGCATCCCAGGTTCAATTCTCCTTCCTCCCTCAGTATCGTTTGGATAAAAAATAAAATAAAAAAGCTAAGCCAAATTATTGTGGGATGGTTCAAACGGTACGGATGAGTTTGATTTGGTCGGGTTGAACGACGTTTTGCCCTCACTTACAAGCCCGTGCTTGAAAAATGGCACGAGCCCAATGGTCTTAGGTTACATATGTGCATATTTTGGGCCAATATTTTGGACCATTCCACCACTTCTACTCAACTCTCCCTTCCCTCTCAGCCCAACTCATGTACCCAACCAACCTATCAGCTCTCTCTCTCTCTCTCTAATTAAATAGTAGAGCCGAACGGCTATACTATTTGAATATCTAAATAGTATAGCCGCGCGGCTCTACTATTTAATTATATAGAAATATGTTCAAAGCGTATAGACGCGGGGCTACACTGTTTAAATATATTCGATTTAAACAGTATCGCCGCGCGGCTATATGTTCAATGGTATAGCCGCACGGCTATATATTTGAATATTTAAATCGTATAGCCGAATGGCTCAACTATTTAATTATATTAAAATATGTTCAAACAGTATAGCCGCCCGGCTGCACGTCTTAAATATATTTAAATATTTAAATAGTATAGCTGTGCGGCTATACGAAAAATCCCAAAGATGTCAATTATATCCTAAAGTACTGATCATAAATTGAAAAAAAAAAGCTTTCTTAACGCAATTCATTTACGAAATTCCGTTTAAAAAACAACAATGATAAATAGGATGTTGTACATATAAATAGAAATTATTTACTTTTTTTGCTAGTAAAGAATAATTTATAGAATATCGATATTCTATTGATGTTACCTAAATTATATCAATACTACATTTTATTAATTACAATAATATCAAAACATTATTGATGACATATTGATAGTGCCACGTAGTTGATAAAAAATAAAAAATAAAAACTGAAAATAAAATCCAATGGTCCAAATGAAAATTCAAGGACTTCTTAATAATAAAAATTAAAAAATTCAAGGACTAAAGTGGGACAAACAAAAAGTTGGGGGGTAATGTTGAAATTAACCCCAGACTAAAACAAAATGACCATATGCCACCCTGCCACCTTCTCGATATAAAAAACATCTAGAGAATTAATTATTTCAACTCGTCAGGTAGACAAGCCGAGCATCGCAGTGAGAGAGAGAGAGAGAGAGTCCGAGGAGCCGAAGGCAAAAGCAAAACTCGACCTTTGGGACACTCGGAAGGATAACTTTACACACCATTTTTGCCTCCAACAACTCTTCCTCTGCATGATCTTAGTCCCCTACCCCCTATATTAAGTCCCTCGCGTCACCTAAAGCCCTCTCATACCATCCTTTGATCCAATCATGTCTCATTTGGCTATCTCTCAGGTATGCCCCCATTTCAGATTCGGGTACTTTGTTTGTTTCCCGAGAAAACGGAGGGAAAAGAATGAGGCTTTCAGTCATTTTATGCTTACCCAGTTGCCAAATAGAAGATATTTGATTAATTCTGCTGTTCTTGTTATTGGGTTATAATGATTTTGCTTGCAGGTTTCACTTACTGCTCCTGTTGGAAGCGATTTTTCTATCAGAAGATCAGTGTTCAAGGTGCGCCTTTCCTTTGTTGGGGTGTTATTAATTTCGCATATTCGTGTTTGTTTTTTAATTGGACACAAGATTGAGGGCTTGTTTGGTTACTGTCGTTATAAACTATGTGGCTTTAGAGTCTTGAGGATTTTCAAATATGTTGTAAAATGAGAAGGTTCCGAGATTCTCCTTTTCATGTAGTTATAGTGGGGGATTAGCTATTGTGATCTTGATACCATTTCTTGGGTTCTCAGCTCGACCTTAGAAGCACTTGTTAGCTTTAGATTTTGCAGATTGCAGACTTTACGTGTCTTCAGGGATGGAGCTTCTGGAAAAAAATTGCTTGTTTCATTTTTGTAATTTCCCCTTTTTTTCTTAGGATTTTATAATCTTAATGGCATTGTAACATTAAGCCTTTAGTTTTAAAGGTACAACCAATTGAAGCAATTAAAGTTAAATGTGATGGTGATGCTCTACTGGTGTTGCTGTTAGAAGCTGTTATCGATAATGATTGTCGATAGTTGTAACTTTGAAAGTTGTGTATTAATTTGATTTAATTATTTGTAAGTGCGTTGATTAATGATTGTTGTAGGGAGATGCTTGCAATGGTAGTAAATAGAACTTTTGTCACATATCTTGCTGTATGCTTATTTCATCTGATTAAGTTTAGAGTACTGCTCCTGAGACTAAAATTTTGTGGTCTTAATAGATAGTATGAGTTTAGCTGATAATAGAGTATAAATTTAAACTGCTTTGTGTTTCTTCAGTCAATAATTTCTCGTTAAAATTGCTTGTAATTTTGCTGCAGGCACAAAGCATAAACTTTAATGATAAATCTTGGGCACCTCTTTTACCTTTGGACTTGAAAACAAAGAATGGGGGGCTGAGAAATCAGCGGATAGTATGCATGTCAGTGCAACAAGCAAGTGTTCCTAAAGTTGCTGTATCTCCTCTACAACTTGAAGATGCTAATGAGCCCCCATTAAATACATACAAGCCTAAGGAACCTTATACTGCAACCATTCGTTCTGTTGAGAGGATTGTAGGCCCAAAGGCTCCTGGAGAGCCCTGCCATATTGTAATCGATCATGATGGTAATGTTCCCTACTGGGAAGGGCAAAGTTATGGTGTAATTCCTCCTGTAAGTAACTCGTTCCATAAAATTTATGTCTTCATCTAGTTGAAAGGGTTTTGACCTATACAATTCTTCGTAGCAGCTGTGATTTGAAAATTGAGAGGATCATGATATAATTGTTTTCAACCTCATTTGATGTTGGGTCTCATCTCTTCGCTTTAGTAGCCACCTAATTTTAATTTTTAAACCAATTTACTGGCATGCTAGTAATTGAATCTTCACACTAAATTTCTCCATTTGAGTGCCTTATTGTTATTTATTTGCATAACAGGGTGAAAACCCAAAGAAACCTGGGGCTCCACAAAATGTTCGTCTTTACTCAATTGCATCCTCAAGGTATGGAGACTATTTTGATGGCAAGACAACCAGTTTGTGTGTCCGCCGTGCTGTCTATTACGACCCTAAGACAGGAAAGGAGGATCCTTCCAAGAATGGTGTGTGCAGCAATTTTTTGTGCAACTCCAAACCAGGAGATAAAATTAAGATCACAGGTAAGAGCCTACTGTTTAAAGATCAATGGGGTTTTGCTTTTCAATTAAAATAGTCTGCGCGAAAAGCCTGTGGCTCATGGCCAGGGTGGGCTATATTTTGATCTTAAAGGTCTCAGCCTGGCCAAGGCAGTGGCTCGTGCAGTTCGGCCCTTCTAGTAGAATGGTTGTGCTTAAGCCTCACTTTTGGGTTGGCCTGTGCTCCTAGGTCATTTGGTCTCCCCAGCCTGTTCTTAACTTTTGTTATTTCCCAAATGAATGCCTTCTTCCAACATATATGAGTTTGTATGGCCCTTTAGTAGGTATAAATAAATTCTATATATTCTTTTTATTCCCCCTCTTTTTAGGGTTGGTGGTTGCTAGCTTAGACATCATATTTGGCTTGATTGATTGGATTTTTCTATAAGTTGTTAAATTTAACGATGCTGGTTATTTTCATCCAAACTTGGCACTTGAGATGATCAACAACGCACACACAGAAGAAAAAAAATTGTTCTTGCTGTTAGTTAAACTAATCAAGTTAAATATATTGTTAGGAACTCCAAATTTAAGTGTTCCTTCCGTAATAGTAATTGTATTGCTCACATTGTATTTACACTGGCCATCATTGTTTTCTTCTGTCTTTCAGTTGCAAACTATGGCCTCTTAAATTAGTTCATCCGATGATCAATATTATTTGCTTTCAGAGAGAATTAATAAACCTATTTAGTCCATTCTTCATTTGATGGATTTGACACTGTTACTGGTAGTTAAGATGCACTCCTTGTCTATAGTTAATTGAACTATAAATAATAATATGGCAGGGCCTGCTGGCAAGATCATGCTTTTGCCTGAAGACAACCCAAATGCCACCCACATTATGATTGCCACCGGCACTGGTGTCGCACCATACAGAGGTTACCTTCGTCGCATGTTCATGGAATCTGTTCCCAAATTCAAGTTTGGCGGCCTTGCATGGCTATTCCTTGGTGTGGCCAATACTGATAGTCTCCTCTATGATGAAGAGTTCACCAAGTATCTCAAGGACTACCCTGATAATTTCCGGTACAACATAGCGCTAAGTAGAGAACATAAGAACAATAGAGGAGGGAAGATGTATGTTCAGGATAAAATTGAAGAGTACAGTGATGAGATCTTCAAGCTCTTGGATGATGGAGCCCACATATATTTCTGTGGGCTCAGGGGAATGATGCCTGGGATTCAAGAAACCTTGAAGAGGGTTGCCGATGGAAGAGGGGAGAACTGGGAGGAGAAGCTTTCACAACTGAAAAAGAACAAGCAATGGCATGTGGAAGTCTATTGATATGGCATGAAGCCTACCATGTTAGGTAAATTTTCTTTTGGTTAGCCAATCATCAGCTTTTACATAAGGAACTTTTGACTTAGCAATAGCATTGATATGTATCAGCAAACAAAGAGACAAGCCCATCTTCGTTTGGTTGAACCAATTTGAGAAACCCTTTGATTGTTGATTGATGTTTCATCTTTTGCCTCCATTTAGTTTTTTATTTATTAATATTTTTCAATGTAATAACCAGAAAATTCAAAATTCTGGTGAATTTGTTCAACCGATTTTATTATGAATTGCAAGCACACTGTTTTCCCTATAATTGACAACCTGTTTTAAACAATTAATGAATGTTCAAATAAAGATCATAGCTTGATAGCAACCAAGCTATGTAATCAATTCAAGTCCCAGTAAAAACTGAAATAGAGCAGAAACAATGATAAGCATGATCTGTGGAGAAGTAGGGCTCATGCAGAGAAATCTAAACCAAGAAGAAAAACTTCAAATATTTAATATTTTTTCAATTTTTAGTATATGTAAATTGATAATCAATATTTAATTATAATTTACATGCCTATATGCAACAACCCGCGAATAACATTTGGCATTAGGTGGTTCTTGTTTGGAAGTGGCCACAGCTTGGATTGATGTTTTATTTTAATTTATTATTTTATATAAATGGGTCTTTTGTTCCAACTCAGCTTTTGATTGCATTGAGGTTTGCTATTTAATTAACTTTGGAAAAGGAGAGGGTATAAACCCATAATATCCAGCTTCTAAAGGCATTCTCAAATGTCCACTTGATTCTAATATGGTGGTTGCGTACTTATTCTTAGAGTAATTTTCCAAAAACATTCGAATCATCTTTTCATTTCTTTTTCTCTTGTTTATAGAATGTTTTCTATTGATAGAGGCGATAACATACTAGACTCGCACACACTAAACGGATGCTAGGACTCGAACTCTGAATCTTTCTTGGGAAAACATTTGTTCCAAACCACTACAGTAATGGATTCTTTACAAATGACATTTTCTTAATAATTTTATTAAAAAGTAGTATAATAGTGATTGATGATCTATACTGATATGTATGTAATTTATTCTTGTCTATTAAGACTTTAATCTTTTGACTATAGTGATTGATGATGTACACATTATCTTTAACAGTGTAATCCATTGGTTGATGCCTTGCAAATTGCCCAAGTTTGTGTTGCCGCATTAAGTGAATGGGTCATCATCCCTGTGTTGCAGCCTAGAAAAGGCTGATTGCAAGCCATGTTACCATCTAACATTACTAGTGAGGTCTCAATTCAATACTTGACTTATATAACTTAATTTTGATATCTAAATTATCGCATGCTAATCACATGATCAATTATTGTTGAAAGATTTTTTGTATAGAACGGTTGAATAAGAGATTTTCTCAATAAATGAAAACGATGAGAGGAAATTGAACGTGAAATCACTTATAATATTGAGATGAAAGTATCAATAGATTAATAACTAGTTGATTTTACATATAGCTTTTAAGAGTAATGCTACACTTACCACATTTTTATTTCACATTTCTATATCACATGATGTGGCATGTCCCTATCATATGACACGTTAATTAAATCAATGAAGTGTATTTTAATAAATAAAGTTTAATTAATAGTTTGTTTTTAAAGTAATAAATCATAAAAGAAAAGAAAATGATGTGGATGTCCACCTCATTTGCCACATAAAATAATATAGAAATGTGGTATACAAATGTGATAAGAGTAGCATTATTCCGCTTTTACCCTACACTTGGTTATTACCGGTTACAATTCTTGTACACAATATAGGATGCATATTTTAGTTATGAAAAGGGTCTCAAATCTTTTATGCTGCTCATATTGAAAGTGTGGACAAAAGAGATGCAGCATGTACTGTGCATTTGAGTGTGCCAACCGTCATCTAAATATAAAGTAATAAATTATGTCAACATAGGCAACTGTCAGGTTGGAGTTCCATGTAAAATCAAAAGCGGCTTTGTCTGTCCACACACTACTTTTATAAATTATTTTAAGACATTGACATTTTATTTGCTTAAAAAAAAGGGGAAGAAGAAAATGACTGTTTATGAATATGAAACTATAGTCAAAGGACAACTAATCATGAATTTAATTTAGAATGTCAATCATCGAACCAATTTCTAGAAAGACAGTGACACAAACCTAAATATTACAAGTAAAATTTTGAGGTTGGAGGACTAATTGGTTGGGTTTGCCTCTGGAAAATTCCTTGAAGCTAAATAAAAATTGAATTATAATCTGAAGACCAATTCATTACTAAATTTTTATCATAAGTATTTGTAAACGATTTATAACATCTATAAATTTATCGGTTCATAACATCAATAAATATATAAATATTATAACAAAATAGATCGATAATCTGGTCATGTAATGGTGTAAGTGTAACGATTAAATTTTCAATAATCTTATCTTATCTCAACTCAGCTAGATTGGTAAAAGCATTCTAACAATGTCAAGCTCATTGCAAGCATCCTATGGGCTATGTTAGCTTCTGAACAAGAACTAAATTATAGCTTAATTTGTTAAATATATATATATTTTTGGTTTTCTCGTTAGCTGATTTGTTTGTCTGAAGAACAATATGCCAGACTATATTACAGATAAAATATTTTACCTGTTTTTGGAGAAACAGATAAAATATTTTACTTTGAAGGCGCATCTTATGCTGCGTGACGTGGCAGTCCCTCTAAATTATAAACTGCCCATCAATCATCATATGGCACTCATGATTTTTATTCTATCCTACAAGAATTCCCTCCTCTTCTCTCTGACCTCTCCTCATTAGAATAAAAAAAAAATAAAAAACAAATATATAAACAAAAACAAAGAAACCAAAACACAGTTGTTTCAACAATCATCCTCCTCTCTCTCTCTCTCTCTCTCTCTCTCTCTCTCGTGCTGGTTCTTTCTCTGAAGAATCATTCTATAAAGGACATTTCTCATTTCTTCAATTCACTGGTAATATGTCATCTCTCTCATAGATCTTACACTGAATCTTTTAATTATTTTTGTCAGGTGAGCCTTTTTTTCATATGTTATGTTGGTTTCTTTCATTTTCTGGTTCTATGTGAATGGTAGCAGTCGTTAGATGGATTTGGAACCTTTGATTTGGACCAATTTTCCACCTTTAATGGACTTTCTATCCGTTTTGAATGAACCCATCATTAAAAATTTGTCATTCCTTCATTGTTGATTTCAGTTTTGATTTTGTAATCATTAATTTATTACGTTTGATTGGAGCTTTCATCATTTGGAACCTGAGAAAACAAAAATTTCACTAAACTGTGCCTACCCAACGTTTAGTTGATCCCCTTTTTCTCTTTTGAAATTTGCGTGGCCAATATAAAATTCTACCCGTTTTTATCCATTTGTGATGCTTTATTAGCCAAGCTATAGATGTTGTAACTTTGCCAATAGATTCATTTTGAATTTGATGGGGATGTTTCAACAATCGGCAACTTCAAATGATATGAAGCATACATCCATGGTTATATTGCATATTCACAGTGGTATTTGGAATTTCATTGTTTTCAAACTTTCTTTTACTTGCATATGAGCTCCACGGAATTATCCGGTTAAGAAATATACTGGAATTGCAATATATGCTAAAGAAGTTCAAATTTTGAGGCTTTCATTTGGGGTGGTATCAGGTGTCTTTGTTTCGCTTTCAGAATCATTTTTGCTCAGATTGGTTGTTTAACTTTCCGTTTTCCAGGCCACTTCCTCCTGACTACTTGAAAAGAACAGGCTTCAATCATTGGATGATTGTAGGTTATTAGCAAAGCAATGAATCACCGTCCAATGGAACTGGGGAGGCCTGCCTCAGGTATGCTTGTAATACTCGAAGCAAAGGAAACAGAAATATTATTTCGTACAAATTGAAAACCTTACATATTATGAATTATGCACCATAATTACATCTAGTATTCTGGTAAGAAAAGAAAGATTGTTTTTAAGTACTTTCCATATTTGTTGGGCAGTAATGTAAGCATTTTTGCATCTGTGTGTATCTGGCGTAAATGTCTTTTAGTTTAATACTTTAATCTAGAAAGTGAATGACATGTATATGCTATACAGGTAAAAGAAGATTAAAAGATCTATTGCTGCAAAAAGATAATCGCTCTTGTGCTGATTGTGGTGCTCCAGATCCTAAATGGGCGTAAGTTTTCCCCATTGATACCCTGAGAATGTATATGTACTTTGTGTAAGTGTTTGTATAGGCACTAAGTCAAAGACTGTTGTTTAAGACATGCTTGTTTCACATGTAAGCTTAAGAGATTAAAGATGAGTGTGTTTGTAAAGCTATTAGTTGACATCCAAAATTCCGACACATTTCTTTCAAGAAAATTGAAAATAAACATGCATTCTTAGGGAAGTTCACTTCCTGTATCCTTCTAACTTCTTCGATATTAAGGAATCTGTTTGTAACTTCATTTGCAGGTCAGCAAATATTGGAGTTTTTATATGCTTAAAATGTTGTGGTGTGCATAGGAGCCTTGGTACTCATATATCAAAGGTAAGGGCTCCTGATTGCTGGATGAGCCTCCAATGTAATTTTTTATAATGGAACAATTTTCCAGTAGAAAAACATGACAGACGACTAGTTAGGGATAGGCTGATAACCACATGTATGTTCCACCTGCCGTTTCTTTACTACCAGCAGTTATGTCATGAACAAAGATGACAACACATGTCCACCAACTTGGCCCTGAACTAAGTGGTCTCTCCCCTCCTCCTCTTCCTTTTTCTTTCTCAAATAGGTATTATGAAACCAAAGTTTGTGTGCTAGTTAAGTTTTCATTGTATTGCACCAAGACAGTCATAATTTGGAGTTTTGGTTGCAGAATTATAATATAACTAACTTTAAAGAAACAGTCAGAAGCATGATTGTTATTTACGATATGAAATCTATTGACCAAAAGGGAACATGCAAATGATTGATCACATCTGCTTGCATCAAGGAAGTTAATTTAATTATCGACATGAATCCTTGGTTGATTGAATTGCATCACAAGGAAACTGGGGAAGTTTATTTCATTTCTTTTACCAAAAAATCTTCTTGTTTTTTCGGATTGCCTTCTTCTTTCTGTTTTTAGGGTGATACCCACAGTAGAACTATTTCAGGCTTGCAGGCGAATCAGTCAAATGTTGCTTAATTGATTGATATTTATTATTTCAGGTTTTGTCAGTGACACTGGATGAATGGTCTGATGATGAAATTGATGCAATGATAGAAGTTGGGGGAAATTCTTCTGCTAATGCAATTTATGAGGCTTTTATTCCAGATGGATGTTCAAAGCCTGGACCAGATGCTGGTCACGAGGAACGCTCAAAATTCATCCGGTTAGTTATGCTATAGAATTCTAGGATTTCCCATTGAGCAGTTTCAATTGTTGGGTCATTTTTCAGATATTAAAAGTAGTTACATATTCATGTAGGTCAAAGTATGAGGCTCAAGAATTTCTGAAACCTAGCTTGCGGATTAACTCAGGTCCTTCTAGAAAGAACTCTCTTCAGAACACTCTCCAATCAAGTAGTTTTTCTAGAAAGATTATCGATAGTTTTCGTTCAAATTCTTCGCAGAAAACGGTAAGTATTGTCACATGTTATGTCTGCCTTTCAATTATGTACTTCAAGAATTAAGGTGAAAATTCATAAAAGTTGGGAGAGTGGGATATAAACTTGTTGAACTATACATGTTGTATCTGTCCATGTTTGCTTTTGGTAGAAATAACAACGCAATTAGTAAATGATGCATATCAATGTAACTTTGGCCTATATTTTGAAATTGGTTACAGGAAGGTATGGTAGAATTTATTGGATTATTGAAGGTAAAGGTGATTAGAGGCACAAATTTAGCTATTCGAGATATGATGACAAGTGATCCTTATGTCATCCTGACTCTTGGGCAACAGGTTAGTATTCTTTCACTATTGCTTATTATTTGGTAATGAAGCTTCGGAATCCGCTATTGCACATGAGGGAGAGAGAGAGAGAGAGAGAGAGAGAGAGAGAGAGAGAGAGATTTAATCATTTCCATATATACTTGATTTTTGCATATAACAAGGAAGTCGAGGGGAAAATTTCAAAGAAAAAGGCTGTTGATGCATGCTTGTCAGCTAGACTTGATTAAACGTAATAACCCCATGTATATATTGTGAACTGATAATATTAATCAGATAATTCAATTTGTGATTAGTCCAGACTGATATTTCTTTCTTTGATGATGGTAATGTTGGTGATAATGTAGACTCTTCAGACGACTATAATAAAAAGTAACTTGAATCCAGTCTGGAATGAAGAACTCATGCTGTCTGTTCCTCAGCGATATGGAGCTTTACAGTTGGTACGCATATATCTATGTCTATCCGTTACAGATACCATATGCCAAAGATCAGGAAACTCTCATGTAATACTGACGTGTCATTTTACTCTGCCTTTTTCTCATGTAATACTGAATGTTTCCGGTTGCCACATTGCAGCGGGTGTTTGATCATGACACATTCTCGGCTGATGACATAATGGGAGAAGCAGAGGTTGATCTTCAGCCCTTGATAACATCTGCAATGGCATTTGGGGATGCAGGAATGTTTGGGAACATGCAAATTGGAAAATGGCTGAAGTCAAATGACAATGCCCTCGTAGACGATAGCACCGTTAACATTGTTGATGGGAAGGTAAAACAGGAGGTGACACTCAAGCTCCAGAATGTGGAATGTGGAGAAATAGATTTAGAACTAGAGTGGATGCCTCTTGAGCAATAGGTAAATAATTTATTTATTCTTCCCATTTTATTTTTAATAAGAATCTGTAATTTTTGGTTGAGTTACTTGTATGGAATGGCACCATACACTTGTCTCCATTCTTTTGTATTTGTTGATAGAAATTCCAGTTTTCTCTCTTATTTGTGAATCGTTTGACAAAAACCAGAGCATGAGCACGTATTCACATTGGTCTTTTTCTCTTTTATTTTTTATTTTTATGCAAGCGATAATATACTTTAGTCTAATCTAAATTACGGAGAGGGAGATTCGAACTCGGATGCAGAGTGGGGAGCACGTCATCTCTAGCCATCTTGGCTAAGCACTTTCTTTTTTCTTTTTCTTTTTTTTCTTTTTTTTTTGTTGGTGTGTGTGTTTTATTCACATTGGTTTGCCTTAATCAACACTGATTGTCTTGTAGTTTTATGGTTGTAGAAGAAAGATGTAGGGTTTTTTTGTTTTCCTTTTTTGGGTGATATTTATTTGTAATGAAGGAGAGGAAGAGAAAAGGGAAGAGTTACCCTTATCCCAACCATAGGACAAAAAGGAAAAAGAAAAGAAGGGTATTGTGGCACAGCCGCACAAGTTGAACCAAATCTTTGATTTATTCAAGCTGCTTTATTCAACCAAAAACAACGGCCATGGTAAGTTGAAATTGTGTGGCAGTTTGATTGTTGAAATAAGAAAAAAGATATAAGAATCCAATTCTTTTTCAAATATTCGACGCAATTAACCATTTTATTTGGTTCTTCATCATTATGATTTATAAGCTAAGGACCCCATCATCATCAAATTCATGGCAGGTTATTATTAAGTCCATATTAAATTTTCTCATATTTCAGACGCTAACTCAAGTCAACAATGTGAGCTGGATTAAAACCATACCAACCGACAATTTCCATCCTTTTACGTATGCTAATAATAATAATAAGTCTTTTGGTAGATACCACGAGATAGTCCTGAAGTTGAATCACGGGAGAGACATACGTACATGTAACAAAGTGTATATCTTTTTGTGACATAGACAAACACAAAGTGGTATACACAGAAAAGTATACACCTCATTGCATGTAAGTAAGGCAAAAACATTGTTCATTTGAAATTATAAGGGTGGACACCGGATATGCTAATGGAATATTACATACAATAACATCAAGGTCTTACTATTTGAACCATATTTTCTGACTACATTGCTAACCACATCTCTAATAAAGACGGGTTTCACATATATTGGTAGGGTCTATCTCTATTAGAGAGGCGATCATTAATGAATTTAGTACAAATAGTATTATTGTCACAAAAAGAAGTCGAAAGTTCACAATAATTGTAATTATACTAGTACAAATAGAAGCCCGCTAATACAATTTTCTTTTAAAAACAAACCAATTAGTTTTTGGTCTAATAATATTTCTTTCTCTAATATTGGAAGAGGTCCTCCCACCTCATTCATAAAAGAAAAAAAAAATGAATTTTCTCTAGAACAGAAAATGCTTCCTAATTGATTACACCCAGATAAGAGAAGGTTGAGTGGATTAGCAAATAGCAAACGAAAAAAATTTGGACCTCTGCATCCTCTGTCATATATGATCTACCTCTTAAGCTTATTCACATGACACTCACGAAAAACATTAAAAAGAAAAAGAAAAAAATGGAGCAGAAATCCAGAGAAGCACAAGTTGTTGTAATAGAGATCATTACCTCATGATGACGCTGATGGTGGTAATGATTTATGCTTTCGGTTCCTTAACAGATACACAAAGGCAGACGCCACAAACAGAGCGACACCTGTAATCCCACAAACCAAACTGGCCAGCAACAGCACATCCTTCACGTGATCTCTATGGCCGCCGCCACGTGCGACGACGCCGTTCCACCACGACGAGTCGCTCGAGTTCATCGCCTTCGGCAATGCCGTCGGCGAATTTTCTCCCCCTCCTCCGCCTCCTCCTCCTCCCCCGACGAAGAAAGACTTCACTTCCGTCGGCGACTTCGCGCTTGCCGGAGGCGAGCCCTGGTATAGGAGTCCGTGATCCGACGGCCGCAGCTCTCGACCGTCCGATTCCATCGCCACCGCCACCAGAAACACCACGATCGCTACCCCGATTTCCATGGGAAGCACCATTCTCTCTCTGCCTCTGTCTCTGTCTCCAGAGAGTTGAGGTCCACACACACTGCGTCGTTTTATAAGAGTATGAGCACCAAACGCTACACTGTTTGATGACGTGAAATTTTATTTTATTTTGTTTTGTCTGAATTCGGAAAACCGTGTGATCTTTGTCACCTGTCGGAGACCAGTGAGAAGTGAGCAATGACCTCTCCCTATTACAATTTAGAATTCACAGAAAGTCTACTATATGTAACTGTATTGGTCCTCCTATCGCCGCTTACTTTTTTGTCCTCTATAAACTCACTCAAAAACTTTTTACTTTCTACTTACTCTGTAAAAATATTAGAAAAATAAAAGCATAATTTCGGGTTTGTATATCAAGCATATTTTTCGCGAAGCTAATATATTAGCTCGTCACGTCCTTATACAAAAACATAATTTCTTAAAAAACAAATGGAGAATTTCGAGTTGGAATATCAAACATATTTTTCGTGAAGCTAATACATTAACTCGCTACGTCTTTACATAAATCCTTGTATCTGGTTTAGTAATTTTTCTCTTAATATTTTACTTAAGTTCAAATTTGACTTGTATATATATCGTGAAAGTATTTAATGTGCATGACAGAAAAAGATGGGTGGGAATTAAATTTTGAAGCAACTTTTTTTCTATTGTGACTGTGACTTGTGAGGGTGAAGCTTTTGCTTTGTATTTTTGTAAAGCTTCTTGTTGTTGTTCAAGATTAATTTTGGACTGATTGTAAGGATGGGATTTAGACTCAAAGGATAGTCCTACCTTTCTTCTGGAGCTGATAAGAATAGCATTATATCATCTGTGATGCCAAAAGTAGCCATGTCATTTTGCTTTATCATTGTACGTGATGGGATATGGCCTAACTTTATCTAGGGGTGGCATTTTAAACCGAAAAACCGAAAAACCGCAAAAACCAACCGATAATTTACCGCAATGAAACCGCAATCGCGGTAAACCGAACCGCATTTGCGGTATTAAGAACCGAACCGCATTTGCGGTTGCGGTTGCGGTATTTGATTTTCAAAACTTGCGGTTACCGCAAACCGCAAAGTATAGCCACACGGATGATGAAGTTGAATTTTACAAGGAAATGGAACATATGACAACTTGTAAGTAATTAGTTTATTTATACTAATGTTATTTATGCTTCTTCTTATAATAAAATGTACTACACTATGTTGTTTTATTTGTAAATAACATTGGTGCTCAAACAACACAACGGGGTTCTTCAAATCCACTCACCACCAACACTTGAGTTTATAACTTTAGTTTGTAACATTGGTGCATTGCATTTTCCTTTTAGTTTGTAACTTTAATTAACTTTGAATTGAATTTTCTTTTTTGTTGTAACTTTAATTCATTTTGCTTTGCATTTTCCTTTTGGTTTATAACTTTAAAGGATTTGGAATTGGAATGCTTGAGAAGTTTAACTTTAATTGGAATGCTTGGAATTGTAACTTTAATTTTCTTAGGTTGTGAATGCTTGAGAAGTTGATGAGATTGTGAATTTATATATGTTTGAGAAATTGAGGTTGTGTATTTATTTATTTAGGTTGTGAATTTATATTTTTGTGAATGCTTGAGAACTCGCGGTTTTAAACCGCTAATTTGCGGTAACCGACCGCATTTTGCGGTTTACCGCATTGCGGTAAACCGCAAAATGCGGTCGGTTTGCGGTTTCAAAAATCACCAAACCGCAAATAGTCGGTCGGTTTGCGGTTTGAGTAAAAATTCGCGGTTACCGAACCGCAACCACCCCTAACTTTATCCATGCATTACCACTAAGAATATAGCATTATCTGGGGGAATTAACTTTTTTTTATTAATCTGGAGCTTAACTTTGATGTTAAGTTACTTATTCTTCAAAAAATAAAAGGAAAACGGGGTCTCAGACTCGATTTGCTGACCAATGATCTTAAAATCAAAATCTCATAACACATTGGTAGTGGAGTATGAAAAACCCCCCCTTAGCTATCCCCATCTTCCTTTTTTTTTTTGGGTCAAATATCTCCATCTTCACTGAAACAAAGACAATGCCACAATGATCATCCGTCTTTCCTTTTTCTTTCTTTTAATTCGAAGAAAGGGGACACAAATTAAACTTTTACTGTAGATATTGACAGAAATAGTAGCCATTGCAACAAATCAAACTTTTAATTTTGTAACCATCCCGTACAATTAATTTGCAATATTATATACATTAGGTTGCACTTCTCATACAATTTTCTTTTTGAAGTCAAAAGCAAAACCACGAAGAAGATCCTAATAAGGATCCCTAAAGACTTTACATCAAAGAGGGTTTTACAAGTCATTGAAGAAGGAAAATGGGAAAACCAAAGATGTGGTTGATGAAACTTGTGACCAATATATCATAATTCACATTTGGGATGGGCCCCGTTGGGTTTTATTTATAGCATTATTGCATATCATTATGCTTAATGCATGCCTTAAGCAGTAAGCTCTTATAATAATAATAATAATATCTATCCACGTGTTTGGACAAGATAAGATAGCTTGAAATCCAGTCTTCCAATGACGTTCTGCTCTGCTGTGAGCTCTCTCTACCCGCCCTTTGTTTCAAACGAGTGCCTGCAGAGCTTCACAAAAACAGGACTTTTGGAAAATTCCCAACTTACACTCCATTAAAATGGGCAAGTCCTCGGAGGCCCACATTTGCCAATGCCTCAGCCTCCTATCAACTCTCCGGCGCAATTCCGTCGTCACTGTCAGTCGCAACCGGAGAAAGACCGGCGAGGAATTCGTGGAGAGTGTCATGGGTCTGGCCCAAGGCCTGCTCCAACTGGGCCTCGGCCCTGGCGACGTCATCTCAATTGCTGCCTTCAACAGGTTCTGCTTCACTTGCTCACCAAAAATGCTTTTTGAAAACACTCTTAAGTACTAATATATGGTTGCACACGCGAGTTAGACCAATTGACCACGATGTAGTAGATTAATTTAGAGTAATTTAGACTATCGCTTCTATATAAAAAGTATACTAATATATGATCTTGTTATCAATATTATCAGTGAGTTGTATTTGGAGTGGTTACTAGCCGTTGCATTTGTTGGTGCCATAGCTGCTCCTCTTAATTACCGATGGGTAAGTAAGCTTCAAAATTGTAATTCTGAGAATTACTTGCCATGCAAACCAAATGTAACCCAACATTTTTGTTGTACTTTTACACATTGCAGAGCTATGAAGAGGCAGTTTTGGCAATGGAGGTAGTGAGGCCAGTAATGTTGGTGACTGATGAAAGCTGCATCCCCTGGTATTCTAAGCTCCAACTTCATCATATACCTTCTCTGAGGCGGCATGTTTCGTTGGATTTGCCTTCCTCGGATTTCTTAAGGACTTCAAGTAATGGTATGAAGTTTCTAAGACATGGATTTTTCTTTTAGATATGGTAACAAACATAAAGCATTTCTTTGGTTTACCAATTTGGTTAAGATATTACTCTTCATTCTTCACTTGGGCAGTGTTAAGTACTGAAACGATTAAAAAGGATTCCGTAGGGGACGCCCAATTAAATTTCTCCTGGGCACCTGAGGGGGTTGTGATGATATGCTTCACTTCTGGTATGAGCTTTCTACTCTGTTTATTTGTTCTTAGAATTTTTTTTAGACATTAGTTGTAAGATTATTCGGCCATTTGTCTGAATTACTTATTTGTTCTTGTTATATAGGAACCTCTGGAAGGCCAAAGGGAGTTGCCATAAGCCACTCAGCTTTTATCATACAGTCCCTAGCAAAAATTGCCATTGTTGGCTACGGTGAGGATGATGTATGCATGTGTTCTTTTCATAGTTTGCAATTAGTCAAGGATGTTCAGATTAGAGTTTCGCACGAAAGCGGGGTTGAATTCGGTTTAGCTCAAGAAACTGAATGAATTTGCAATGTTTAATTGTGCGGCGATTGCAGGTTTATTTGCATACAGCTCCATTGTGCCACATTGGTGGTTTGTCATCAGCCCTAGCAATGCTAATGATTGGGGCACGCCATGTCTTGATTCCTAAGTTTGAGGCTAAATCTGCCCTTGAAGCCATAGAGCAACATAAGGTTACTACTCTCATCACCGTTCCTGCAATGATGGCCGATTTTGTTCTCAAATTCAGGTAATGGTAAAGGCTGTATGAGGAGATTTCTTATCATAGCGTGCTTATAGAGTAGAGAAAATCCCACTCGGAAAGCATTCTAATTTTTCGTTTACTAGGTATCGTATTTTACGAGTTCTGTGAAAAGGATTGATCAACATGCATTGCAAAGCCTTGTACTTGTGCCTTGTGCCATTGGTTTTCTGAGTTCTTGTTCTGAAAGCTGTCAGGGGGATTGAGACATGGAAAGGCATGGAGAGTGTGAAGAAGATCTTAAATGGAGGTGGAGGTTTGTCAAGCGAACTTACCAAGGCTGCCATCAAATTGTTCCCACAAGCTAAGCTCCTCTCAGCTTATG